TTTTTTTTATAATTTTAGCTAAATCTCTTCGCACTTCCCCCCACAAAATGTACCTCCTTTTCCCTTCATTTTATTTTGCTGCTGGGTGAAAAACTACACAGGAACCAATCCTTATCTTTCAAATTCTAAAATTCAAAGCAGATGAAGAGAAATCCTTATGATCAAAAAGGAGTTTGCTAGCAAGGCAACTTTTGCTATAACATGCAGAGCTGATAAATTCTGATAAATTCTGTTTTGGAACACTAAATCCAGGAGCCACTAAATCCATAAAACATTTGCTGGATAAATTTGAGAGCAGAAAATCGGACCCAAAGGATAATAAAGAGGAACCCAAAGTAGTAGTGATGAAATAAATTGTAAGCTTAAACTGAGTAACATACTCTGAATCTTTCTGCGAATACCTTAGTTTATAGAGTTATTGGATTTTCTTTTGTTTGTGTGTTTAAAAAAAAAAAAAGCTGTACTGTGAAGTTTTGTCACATTGCCAGACTAGGTAAATTTAAGACCCTTCCACAGAGAGGTGGTAGCTGAACCTGTGTGACGGATAAGACCACCCAATGAAAAAGGATGGAGGATGCAACAATGACGCAGTCTACGGGACTCTGTTTTGTTGTCACGCTCAAAAGTGTTAAGATGTTGTTAGAATCCTTCTCTTACTATTCAGCTAATTTTGGTTCAAGGTCTGTTTATACTGACACTGGCCTCCTACTTCTTCTAGTAACCATTCCACAGAAATCTGTTTCATTTATTAAGAAAACCAAAACAAACTTTAAAGTACGTGAAATTTAGAAAGTAAGTGGTCATTCGTTTTGGAAAATTTTTCATTTAAGTTCAGCCAAGTCTTTCAGAGGGGAAGTGTCTCCTGCGGCTACCAGAAGTCTTTGAGAAGAAAGAATTGATTCAGTGGTGGATTTTTGGCACAACTGTTGTTGTTCCTGCTATTGAGACAAACATACAAGAGAGAGAAAAGGGCAGCAATGAAAGAAAAAAGACTTCTGTCTCCCTAATGCTTGCTTTGTTGATGTGTCTTCAGCAGGTGTGCTTTAACATCTGTACCCAGCTCAAGTACCCAGTTTGGGTTTGGTCCTTCTTCATATTGGGGTAAGGTTGCTTACACTGCTTTAGCCTGTTGTGCTGATCATAGTGATGATATGGAGCTCAGCTAATTTAAAAAGTTGGTTAGAAGCCCAAAGAAGGATAGGTGTGAGAGAGAATACAATAAATGTCATAGAAGGGTGTTGTGTAGGGTTTGGCTATAGGAGTGGAGGTGGTATCTGCATCCTTCTCAGTCTGGTCAAAAGATCTTTCAGGATCAGAGAAGGGTGGCCCAATGGTGTGATGGTAAATATCTGGATGATGTGGTGGTGGCGGCAGTGGTGGTTGATGACACTGATTAATGCTCTGGCACACTTGTAAACTTACTCCCTCTCGATCCTGAGTTTGCTACATCCATCATGAATTACCAAGTGCTTTCCTGTAAAGCAATGCTCAGAAGGTGGCAACTGTGTCCCATTAAAATTAACCAATTAAAATAGTTTTCAGTGGTTCATATTTGTACATTTTCTTTTATCTGAGTACCTTGGTTTGTTGCTAAACCAATTTTATAAACTTATCAGGAGATATGACAACCCCTGTTAAGAGTTTTTTAGTTTAGACAAAGTTAGTTTACATTAGTCCTTTGAGTTCATTTTGTATTTTTTTCCGACCATAACCTAGTTATGGGTGTCGCGGTTCTATAGGGATACATTGCCTTGGCCTTTATACAGTCTCCCTATTTCTTGCCAAGCCATAAGTGTAGCCTTTAACAAGGGCAAGCTCTGCAACTCTGAGACGGAGCCTTCAGGCTCCAACAATCCTTGCTTCTCATTGTGTGCTCTTCACAGCCAGTCCTAATGAGTTCAGACCTCTTTTGAAGACTTTTACCCCTTCAGGAAGCAATGCCTTCAGAAAGTGTCTGCAGTGACACTAGGCAGCCGTTTCAAAACAAGATAGCATTTATTAGTCAACAGGAATACAGCATCTGAGAGCCTTTAGATAAGCACAAAAAATACAAGCTTCAGGCAGAGTCCATATAGGCAGAATCAACTCTCCTAAACAGTCCATGCCTTCCTGGAGCCCATCTTCTTTCTCTGGCTTTGTGTCCCTGTGTTTGAGGCTGTCTGCACTACAAAGCCTATTCCAGCACAGCTCTGCTGACATAGTCTCCTAGTTTAGGTACAGTGAACACCGACAGAAGCTTTTCTGCTGTTGTAGAAATACCACTTTCTCAAATGACGTTAGCAATGCCAGTAGAAGCTCTCTTCTGTTGATATAGCATGTCTACATTGGGAGTTTTGTCAGCATAGCTATGTCACTAGGGCAAGTGGCTTTTTTTCACATCTGACTGACAGAGCTATGCCTGTATAGTTTTAAGTGTAGACCAAGCCTGAGTTTTTTGTGTGTCTGCAGCAGCACACTTTAAAACACAGCCTCTTCACACCTCGTCCGTTTGTTTTCCTACTCAGGACTTTTCCACTCTGCTTCCTGGCACAGAGTTGGAGGAAATAACGTGCTCTTGGCTGCTGATCATTAGGATTAATGGTCATTGGGTATTCTATTCATATGTGTTAATTCCAGCCAGTTCTTATTAGTGATCTGGTTCAAACCCAGACAGACCCATTTGTCTAATAACATCTTAACCTGAGATTCAGCTATGCCTCACTTCCCCTGTTGCCCGAGTAGGAATTAGCCCCTTGTGTGTTAACTGAGTCACACACACTGTTCATAAAAATATTATCAATAAAGTCCCATATTGGTTTACAATGATTTTTTTCAGTCCTTTACCTATTTTGGCTTGGCAGAACTTTAATTCAGGGTATAGACCTCAAAACAACAGCTCTATCCTACTAACATAGGAATTTCTTTACTGGACCAGACCAGTGGCCATCTAGTTTAGTATGTCTCCCACAGTGGTAATGTGCTTTAGAAAATGATGTAAAGCTGCCATAACACCCAATTATATAATTTATGCTTGGGAGAAACCTCTTCTTAGCCCAGGTAGTTAGCATTTGGTTTATGCCTTAAAACATGCAGCTTTTGTGACTCACGGATACATTTCAGTGCATTTTATCGTTTGTATAAAAGCAACTGTATATAAAAAAAGTAGCCATTTCTTTGTGAAAGAAACACTTCAAAAATATCAGAGGGGTAGCCGTGTTAGTCTGGATCTGTAAAAGCGGCAAAGAGTCCTGTGGCACCTTATAGACTAACAGACGTATTGGAGCTTTCGTGGGTGAATACCCACTTCGTCGGATGCATGTAGTGGAAATTTCCAGAGGCAGGTATAAATATGCAAGCACGAATCAGGCAAGGGATAAGGAGATTAGTTCAATCAGGGAGGATGAGGCCCTCTTCCAGCAGTTGAGGTGTGAACACCAAGGGAGGAGAAACTGCTTTTGTAGTTGACTAGCCATTAACAGTCTTTGTTTAATCCTGAGCTGATGGTGTCAAATTTGCAAATGAACTGAAGCTCAGCAGTTCCTCTTTGAAGTCTGGTCCTGAAGTTTTTTTGCTGCAGGATGTCTACCCTTAAATCTGCTAGTGTGTGTCCAGGGAGGCTGAAGTGTTCTCCTCCGGGTTTTTGTATGTTGCCATTCCTAATATCTGATTTGTGTCCATTTATCCTTTTACGTAGGGACTGTCCAGTTTGGCCGATGTACATAGCAGAGGGGCATTGCTGGCACATGATGGCGTATATTACATTGGTGGACGTGCAGGTGAATGAACCGGTGATGGTGTGGCTGATCTGGTTAGGTCCTGCGATGGTGTCGCTGGTGTAGATATGTGGGCAGAGTTGGCATCGAGGTTTGTTACATGGATTGGTTCCTGAGTTAAGAGTTACTATGGTGTCGTGTGTAGTTGCTGGTGAGAATATGCTTCAGGTTGGCGGGTTGTCTGTGGGTGAGGACTGGCCTGCCTCTCAAGGCCTGTGAATGTGAGGAATCATTGTCCAGGATGGGTTGTAGATCACTGTTGCATCCGACGAAGTGGGTATTCACCCAGGAAAGCTTATGCTCCAATACGTCTGTTAGTCTATAAGGTGCCACAGGACTCTTTGCCACTTCAAAAATAGTTTGCACTCTACCTTTCATTGCTGTGATTTTGCTGTTATGGAGAGTATATGACTAACTTGTCTCCTGCAACCACCAAACTGAAGGTAGATCCTCCAGATGAAGATTCAAGCGAGTTGGAAAGAGAATATGGAGAATTTTTTATCACAGCTGTATATGGAGTACTTGCTTTCTGGATAGCAGACTTCAGTTTCTAGGCTATCGCTCCAGAACCTTTCATAAACACTCTTTTACAAAAAGTGAAATTGGGCAGCTGGGCTTCCAATTTATGGGCTTTCTGTGTGTAAAACTATAGAGAATAAATGATTGCCCAGAATGTTAAACTACTATAATTGACATAAGCTTTGTTTAATATGCCATTTGACAGAATGTTGTTGCCATTCCATGCAAAATACTGTACATTAAGTGAAATGCTGTGAAGACTCTTAATAGCAGTTAAAGCTGTTTTCTTGTTCTTGTAGTTCAGCAGTTAACAAACCTAATGGCAACATTAGCATCGTCCATTTTTTCTAAATACGGGCTTTATATTTGTTTTCCAATATTTCTCTCTTGGTGCAGCTACCTTTGGTCTGGATCCTGCAAGGTGGTGTTTGCCTCCTGTGAAGTGCTGACAGACTTAATCTCCTTTTGGCTTCCCTGGAAGTGGAGGGTGCTTAGTACCTGGGACAAGGGCACTCAATATCTTGCAGGAATTGGGCCATTCAGTCTTATTTTAGTTTTATAAAATAAATGGACAAAGAAAATGTTTCATTTGTGGACTAGCATAATATGCTAGAAAAATATTTAAATTGTATAGAACATTTGCTCTTCAAAGACCAACACAAAACCTTTAAGAAACTCCATTTACTACATGAAATTCATTCTTAAGCCATCTCAACCTCTGTTTTTCAGATGCTGCCGGTTGCAAGACAGGCAGGAATTAACACCAGGACAGCCGCGTCAAGAGGATTGTATCATCCAGCAACAATCTTTATGGGCCGCCAAATGTCAGCCATCTCAAGCATTGAAGATTTCAGTACACAGCAGAAATCTTCCCAGCCCACAAAGAGCTTTTCAGTTTCTGACCCACATTCATGCAGACAGGCAGCACAGAGCAGTAATATGACAGACAGCTATGTAGTACAAACTAATTGTGATATACGGTGCTTAAATAAGTCTGACAAAATAGATGGGAAGACATATCTCCAGATGGGTGAGAAAATGCCAGTCACATCCAGTGTATCATCTGAGAATGGACAAACTCATTGCTTAGAAATAGAAAGCAATACATATGATGGCAATAGTAATTTAGTAGAAAGCAAAAAATCTGCTCAACTCAACTCCCTGTTATGTGAAAGATTAAGTCCAGAGAACAGAATCACTGATTTAAAGAGTGACAGTTATAGCAGCTCAGTAGAAGCAATAGTGACAAAGGAGCATTTTGTAGCAAATGAAGAAAGATCTCAACAGCCAATCCCATTGGTGTCTGCTCCTGAACAACTTGTTTCTGGAAATGAGCAGCCAGGAGACCATTTCCCAGGTATGATGATGGTATTTGTGTGATGGCCTTGCTGTGGGCAAAGTGCTGTCTTCCCCCATTGATCCAGGTTTTCAGAATACACTCATCACCACTGGGTCTGAGTGCCTCCACAAATGGAAAGGAACGGCTAAGGCTCGGTTTAACAGGCTGTGGAGGGCAGTGCAAGAGGAGTCTGCAGCTGTTGTGTGCTGTAGAGCAGGCAGCATGGCCTAGTGAACAGGGCACTCCCCTGGTTGTCGAGAGGCATGGATTCTGTTCCTGGCTGTACCACTGACTGGCTGTGTGACTTCGGCTAGTCACTTCCCCTCGGTTTTCCCTTCCTCCCTTTGTGTCTTGTCTGTTTGTTTGGTGCAGGGACTGTCTCTGACTCTTACTGCTTACTACAGTGGGGCCCTGATTTTGGTTGGCACTGCTAGATGCTACTATGGAGTCTTCCTCTGCTGTGTGTCTGTGAGCTGCAGTGCTGGGGAAATGCTGAAGCTCAGCCAATGAATCTGCCACTTTGCAGCTCCAAAGGCCTAAACTTTCCACACAGGTAGCATGCAGAGGTCCCAACTGCTACTACTGGCCCTGGCAACAGAACAGTTCTGCAGCTGTTTCACGCCAAGCTGCTTAGCTGTGGAGGAGTTAAGAGGACTCCTTCTTTGTACCCTTTCTTTGAATCCCAGCACAGAAGCGTGTTTCCTTGGACTTTGTCTTGGTTTTGGGGTAGCAAGTGATCTCTGTTTCCCCTGTTAGAGTGGTTTGTCTCTGAGAATGGTGCATTTGAAACAGTGTCCCCATTGGTGGTGCATCTGATTGTTATGACCAAAGACGTGATTCACAGTAGTACGAACCACACACAGGACCATTAAGAACTCTGTGAGGAACTTGATCCTGGCCAAATTAGGTAATTCAAATAGGCATTTCTCTGTGACCAGCCTCAATACCAAACAAGTAAGGTTTTGCTTTAGAATAGATGGGGATCCAGTTTGCTGACACATGCCTTTCTTTTGCATTGGTGGATATGTCCAAGGTCCTGTAAAAAAATTTGGTAGGACAAATCGCAGTTTAACCTGACAGCCCTGGCATGGGCACATCATCTGGAATATCCAGGTCTGCTAGGTCTCTCCAAAGAACTGATATTTTTATTTTTTCCAATCCCAGCTCTCTCTCTTTTTTGGTGCGGGGGCAGGTGTTGGAGGTCAGGCCTATTGATATACTGGTACCCACAGACTAACCAGGGATGTGACTATGGAATTTGGGTCTCACTTGGCCTTTGGGTGCTTTCGTTGAACCACCAAGTGATTTTTCTCTCCCATATCTTCCTTTGAAGGTGGTCTTTCTACTGATCATAACTTTAGCTAGTAGGACAAGGAAAGTCTTTGAGATCCAAGACCTCATTGATAATCCTTCTTTTACTGCCTTTCACCAGGGCAGCAAGGTGTTTTTATTGCCATATCCAGAATTTTTACTAAGGTACTGTAGTATCAGATCTTTCTATTAACCACTCTAATGTTGTTTGTTTTACTTACTTGGGAAACATGCTTGGTCTCTGCCTCAGGTTGATTTTGTTCAGAAAGTTTGTGCAGAATAGTTAATCTGTTTCTGAGAATAAAGCTACTGAAAAATAGGTAGGTTTGCCAATGATACAATATTTTCAGATGATTAAAAAATATATATCTAGTGCCTTAGGTCTTTAGAGGAGAAACTTGAAATTTGCCAGGGAATTGTCCTGAGGGAAGAGAGGTGCTATTTGCTATCACTGTGAAAATCCATCCAGATTTGACCAAGGCTTGGTCTGCACACCAATATGGCAGTTATACATGTGATTTTCTTCTTTTACTAATGTAGTTATACTGGCACAAACCCTGCATACCAATACAGTTCTACCATCCTGGAAGGGGCATAAGATGTACTGCTATACAACACCTTTATACCATATAACTACGTCCACACTAGGGGGATTGGTCCACTTTAACTGTATCGGTATAATTAAAGCAGTACAGCTTTTGCGTGTAGACAAGATTTTGTATGAGATTTGGGAATGACTATTAGTACTATTAGATGAATTCATTACATGCTTACTCATTATTCTCTGAATGTCCCATGCCCTGCTGAGAACCATGTTTCATAGGCATATGATTCACAAACACTGTTTCCCACAATCAAATATCCTTTGGCCTAGTGGAAGAACCATACTTCCCCCTGTTCCCAAAGCCAAGAACAGAACCCAGAAACCATGATTCCCAGTTTTGTGCTACAATCTGGCAAACTACCTACTGGGAAACTGTGTCTTAGCCCCCTCTAATGGCTTGGTGCACAAATGATAACAACCCACCATTATCTGCTAATGGAGTTATTATTTTTAGCTCAAGTGGTAGAGATGAGTAACTCAAGAAAATTGATCAAACTGCTCTTAACAGCTTGCAGAAATATTCTCCTCTGCCTTTCCAGTAAATATGTCAATTTTCAGGTTAACCCAATTTTCTAAGTCATATAAGGATTGCTAAAATGGAACTTTATAATGAAAATTACTGGCAACCTTAATGGAGGCGGGGGCTACTGCCTCTCAATGTAATGATCACAAATTTTGGACAAAAGCTGGCAGTCTCCTCATATTACCCTGTATACTTCTTGTTCTCTTCTTTGGCATCCTGTTGTTGCCTTTTTTGTGGTTTTTCCATTTCTCTTGCTTTCAGGACTCTGTTTGCTTTTCTTTGTCTCTACTGTCACTTTGACATATTTGCCACTTCTCCAGTTAATGAAAGACTGTCATTATTTGAGGTGGAACAAGACAACACCAACCTGGCTTATATTGGTTTTAAGGCTCTGCAAAGCAGATTTGGCAGAATGTCTGTTCTCTCCCCTTTTGCTCCCCAAAGAAATGTTAAGGTGGTCAGTGTCACGTTTGGAAAAATACTTTTAATTTTGGAATGTAATACTTCTATCTTAAGGGAAACCATAAGTTTGATTCAAAATCAGAACGATCGGTGACCACCTCAAATTTCCCATGAGGGTAGGGGGAGAGCTTCTATGTCTTTATGATGTCAAACCTACATTATAGAGTTCTAAGGTTAAAGTAATCCAGGTCTGAATTTTTTGTTCTAGTTCTCATAAAAGTTTGGTCTTTCATGCTGCAAATTACAGGGAAGTTTGGCTCTGCTGTGTGTACCACAACTGGACACAAGCTATGCTTTAAGCTTCAGGTGTTTATGCAGTACATTGTGGCTTGAAGCTGTTTTTCCTTTGAGTACTTTTCTGTTGTTCAGAAATGGCAGCATAATATGTATAAAAGCAACATAAAATAAATAAAAGTAATAGCTTATCTCTTACATTTATTCATATCCTGAATGCTGGAAACAGAAAATAGAATATAAGATCTTGTCGTTATTTGTATCAAAAACTATTTTTCTGAAATCTGCCATAATTTCAAATAAAAATGAAGCTCAGTGTAGGGAAGGGAGGAAATGTTCTGTTTTGCAGCACAAGCAAGACCCTGTGAACACTCTTGGGTTAATTTTAGAAATAACTGATACTGCAGTGAATCTTGTGGGAACTTGGGAGTTTCATGGCAATGTTACTTGATTACCGAATTGTTTGATACATTTTCATGACATTCTAAAAATGCACCAGAAAATGAAAATGTTAGTAGTGATTATTTTTATTTGTATCGTAGAAGATTAGTGCAACCTCTTTCTGCTGAGCAGCAAGGGAAATCAGCTGCCATGCACAACTTCCAAGCCAACAGGCATATAGCTCTGCTCCTGCACAGATTAGAAGCTCCAGACAACAGCTGCCTCCTCTTCAAACACACTTCTGCCTTCCCAAGACCGTTTTTCAGGCCATTCTTCCCCATTATGTCGGAATAGATTTGCTGGAGGAGGCTGTCTTAATCCTTGTTGCTGTTTTAAATTGTGGAGGATCCCCTTCACTTGCAGCCCAGAGGAGGCATAGGGGATCCACTGAACACCCCTTGTGAGGAAAGCATAGACTAATACACAAATATGAAGAAGGAGGTTAGGTAGTAGGTGGACAAGTTAGAGAGTTGAAAGATACTAAGGAAATAACCGTTTTTATGGATTTATGCAGCACTAACTGACTGACAGCTTCTTGGCAAAATGTTGAAATATGTGGCCACTCATGCAATTGCATGAACTCGTTACACATGAGACTGAGCAGAAGGAAACAGTCCAAGGATTTTGGGAAATCTTTTCTGCCCGGCAGGCCGTGGAATATTCCTCTGGTTGGTTAAGAAGTGGGGCCAGCCTATTAGGAGTATTCCTATTGGGGCAGTCCCTAAAGAAAAAAAAGCATAGCAGCTTCAGAGTGTCTCTGTAGGTTGAACACAGATCACAAGGGAGTTTCTCCAAAAAGGACAGCAGGGTCAGCATGTAGGGAGAGTACCTGCAGGGTTAGGAGTATGTCACGGGGAAATTTCTGGGTGCTGTAACGTGGCATGTGAGTCCCTCTTATAATAATAGTTTGACATATTACTTAAGGGGAGGTTTCAGAGTAGCAGCCGTGTTAGTCTGTATTTGCAAAAAGAAAAGGAGGACTTGTGGCACCTTAGAGACAAACAAATTTATCTGAGCATAAGCTTTCGTGAGCTGAATGCATCCGATGAAGTGAGCTGTAGCTCACGAAAGCTTATGCTCAGATAAATTTGTTCGTCTCTAAGGTGCCACAAGTCCTCCTTTTCTTTTTACTTAAGGGGGAGGAATCCAAGTACAAGACTCAAACTTAGTTCCTCATTTCCAAGTCAGGAGGAGCTTTGAGCATTGTAGAACAAGCGCTGCATCTGTTGAGAGAGAGGTTTGTGGTGATCGTCAAAAACTCTGAGAATGACTCCAATGCCACATTGACGGATTCCAGAGAAAGCTGCATCCATCCCCATTAGGCAAGAATGTCAATGAAATGAATAAAGGAATGGAAACCTGGGATATCTGGAGAACCCTGGAAAAATGTGCAGAAGGAGCAGAGGTTTTAGACTGTATGAATTAATACATATATTAAATGTACTTGGCTGGGTCTCATTGCAACGCAGTGCAATGTATATTTTTTGTCATGCTCCTGTTACTATGTTGGCAATATTTGTCATATTTTTATTGCAGGTCGAGCCCAACACACAGATACTCTGTGGCCCTCTGCAAACACACTGGAGCTAGAAGATGAAAGTTTAGACAGCAGCAGTGACCTTACAGTTTCTGTGAGTGAAGAGGATCAGATAATAAACACAGTTGAACTACAGCAGAGCCTAGGAGATGTGGATTGCAAGACAGCCTTAAAATCCATGAACTTGGAACAAGAAAAAGAAACCGGATCCACCAAAGAACATTTTTCTTTGCAAACAGTAAGCCGCTCTACGACAGATGAAGACTCTTCGGCGAATTCAGCAACAAGACAGTAAGCCATTAAATATTTTCTCACTGTGATTATTTAGTTAGGATTTTTTTCTGGAGATTGTCCTGTTGACAATCTGTATTACTGTAAAATATGTATATGAATATGCAACTTTCTTAGCTGCTACAAGCAGACATTTTAATGAGGGTCTCTTTTTTGTGATGAATTGACTTTGGAACTCATCACACAATTTGAGATGCCTGTTTCTATGATTTCAATTAAATGCAGTTGTCTCACTGTTTTCCTTATTTTAGTATATCAGTTCAGTTTGATAATGGAAATAACTCACTAAACAGTACATTTCATGGTAATTTGAATTTTTCAGGTGGTTAAACTCCCTGGGCATTCAACTTAACAACTTAAAGCAACACCTGCGAGGTGTGCAACTGCATCTTAGAAATGCATTGTTTGTTCTCTGTGTAAGTCTATTTAGATGTTTTTTATGGCCCCTATCATTGCAGTATCCGAGTGTCTTTCAATCATTAATGGCTTTTATCCTCACAACTCACCCATGTGACGTAGGGAAACATGATCACCATTCTACAGAGGTGGGAACTGGGGCACAAGGTATATTAAGGGACTTGCCCAAGGTCAGACAGGAAACCTGTGCCAGAGCCAGGAGGTGAATCCAGGTCTCCTGAATCTGTTGTATCATATCTTATGGTTGACTCACTTCAACCTGATGGAGCACTTTGGTGTAAAGCAATAAGAATATCATTCCTTTTGCACTGTGAACCTTTGATCTTACAAAGTTTTGTGTTTGTGAGCGCCTCACCAGTTTGTTGTGCAGCTCTTCAATTCTGCTTGTCTCTTCAGCTGCATTCCTGTAGGCAAGGCTCTTCAGCACTCTCCTCCCAGCTCTTCCCCACCTCCTACTTCATCTGTGCCTTTCACTGCTGCTAGTCTCCCTTGCTCCCGCTCGTTGCAAGGTTTCCTGCCCACATATTCTCTTCTTTTCCTTGCTTTTCCACTTGCTGACTTTCCTTCTTTTTGCTCCTCCTAGTTCCTAGCTGCAAACGTTCTCCCTGTTGCCTGCTTGATTGTACCCACTCTTCTCCAATGGCTGCCTGCCATTTACCTGCCTTGCCAGCTTCCCAATACTCTTCCTCCTCTTACTCAGTGCTGCTTCCCTTACTGCCTAGCCTCCTTACTGTTCTGGATCCCAACAGCCTCCCAGTGGCCATTATCAGGAAAAGCCACCCTCCTAAATACATGTATTCCTTTCAGTTTCTATTGCCAAACTGACATTATCTCCACTTGTCTTCCAGGTGATGCTACCTGTCCGCTTTTTTTCCCCCTCCTTCATCCTTGAACAGTTCCCATGCAAAATGTTTAGGACTGATGTGGTTAAACATATTTAGGTGGTGATTCGAGTCATGTGAGTTAGTACAAAAATAAAAACTATGTAGCCAAGAAAAATAGCATTTGTTATCCAGCAAGAATGAATGAGGCTTTTAAACCAATCTCCCTGGTGGTTATTTATCTGTTTGTTCATTTGTCTTTTTAACATGTTTAACATATCTCTGCTTTTTTTAATATATGCACATGCACATATAGTCTTATTAGAGAATGATTTCAGGAATGGTTCATATTTTACTAGATGACAGTTAAGCAGAAAAACACAGATATCCGTTAAAATACATTTCTGCAACATTATCATTTCAGTTTTTCAAACCATGTGTTAGACTATTGCTTACTACAGAAACATCTAATTTACATCTAAATAGCTTTTATAGAGTTTTCCTTTTGTTTAACACCTGTTAATCATAGCACTTCATAAGAAAGTTGTATAGAGTGGTTGATTGTGCCAGAAAAGTCATAGCTGAGCAGTGGGAATGTAACCTTTTGTCCTGTCCCTATAGATTTTAGTGACTTCCAGCTGCTGATATAAACAGATGGAAAATATTGTGTGTTCTTCTTAAGCCTGGATAGCATTTGTTCTTTGTTCTCGTTATCTCTGGAATTTGACTCAAAGCTGAAAGTGGGTAATGGCCTCTAAAACTGTCAAGTCTTAGTTTTTCAGGGTCATAAAAATGTGATCACAGTTGATCCATTTCTCCAGGAATTATATAGATTTTATTTTGCTTTTGTTTTTGAAAAGTTAAAATACAGATAGAATGCAAAATATTTGTATCTGGGAAAGATCCTATGGAGAGACAAGTAGTTTCTTCATAGTTAATTTTGCAAACAGGAAGCATTTAGATCCTACTGCTCCTATTAGTCACTCAAATTCAGACTTGAATGTTTTGATATTTTGCATAGTAACTCTCAAATGCAAAGAGATTTTTCACAAAGTTTTAAAGTGATTAATAAATGAGTTTGTGATACAAATAACCTTGGTAAAAATATAACCCCTTTTTGAAATGTGGTCTGAAGGTGTGACATTTATTACTATTCTTCTACCCCCCGCCCCCAAATATTTTGTTGTAAACTAAGGACAGGTTTCAGAGGAACAGCCGTGTTAGTCTGTATTCGCAAAAAGAAAAGGAGTACTTGTGGCACCTTAGAGACTAACCAATTTATTTGAGCATGAGCTTTCGTGAGCTACAGCTCACTTCATCAGATGTAGTGATGTAGTGATCTGATGAAGTGAGCTGTAGCTCACGAAAGCTCATGCTCAAATAAATTGGTTAGTCTCTAAGGTGCCACAAGTACTCCTTTTCTTGTTGTAAACTAGTTAAACTTCCCATATAGTTATTAAAAATACCCAAAAAACTAGTGCACAGGTTATATTTGAAGAAATTATGTTGTAATTAAGTAAAATTTTAATGGTTGGGTATCAAACTGAAATGGTTATAGTTTGGGCCCTCAGCCTCTTGGTATCTTCGTTAATTCTTAAGCATGTTATTGTGACCTCAGTGCCACTTCTACCATTTATCACCTTTCCTCTGGGTTCACGAGTCTACTTTAGGTTTATTGGTTAAAAGTAGTAAGGGGTGTGTGGAAAGGAAATTACAGAGACAAACTATTTTGAGGTCACTATTTTGCTGAATTAAAAACAAAACAAAAATCTTTAGTGCACATCAGCAAGTGACTGGTTTTCAGGTGACATTATCTGCATCCAACTTAGTGGAGAACAGTGGAGCCTCTTCAGTTAAGTTTTTAATTTTTGTTTGTTTTGCAAATATATTTTGTAAAAAGCCTTTTTTTCCCCCAAAAAAAGCCTTTTTAATGTCACATTTTACCTTACAGTGAGTTATTAAAGCGCAGTTACAAACTGCTTAAAGTCCGATTTTTATCTTGAATATACTGACAAGCTGTTACCTGTGAAAATACATGAGTGATGTTGCTATGATAACAGGTTTTTTTTAAAAGCTTGTAATGTAGTTTAAGGAAGCAGACTTATATTCAGTACTTTCTTAAACAGCTGAATGCGACAATTTTGATGTTCAAGTTATTAAAAATTAATAAAATATAGAAAGTGAGCTTCATTCATGTGAGCAGTGATGGATTGGCAAATGAGTTTCTCTTTTTATCTGCCAGAGAGTGACAGTACACGTATGTTTAAAATATTCCACTCTAAATTCAACCTATATTGTGGGAACCAAATAGGAGAGATGAGTAGTTTGTTCTTTGCACCTGTTCATTTCTTGGCCTCTCTGCTGAGCCTGCCAACAAGTGTTCTAGATTTTGCTAATTTTGGTTATAGTTTTTGTGATGTCACCTTGTTTACTGTGAGTGGTACTAGACCTGTAATTCATTTCACATAAAGTACTGAACAGCTATCCTATAACAACTGCTGTTCTCTACTGATTTGTTACAGATTTGAACCAGTGAACTAGAAGTGAAAAGCTCCATATCTTTTTTTTTTGTTGTTGTTCATTCCTCAGAGCTATCCAGTCCTCTATTTAAAAGGCTAAAAAACCAAAACCCCAGAGAATTAATGCATAGAAAGATGATGACTATTTTAAGGCCTGTGTTGGGGGTGGGAGGAGAGACAGCTTTTGCCAGTGCTGCTTCAGCTGCATTGAAGAGGACTTAGCACAGATGGATTGTGCATTACAAAATGTAACACATAATTCAAGCTGTCAGCTTAATCAGACTGTTTCCAGGAAGCAACCTGTAAAAGAGAAGGACCCCTTGTTTGCTGACCTCTGATCCATAGCCTGCTGCAGATTGTCATACATTTTGTTTCTCTTTATGTTGGTGTCCCTTCCTTCCCCTTCTTTTTGTTATTGTATTCCCTTCAAGTGGCACCCTGGAAAGACCACCCAGAGGGAGTAAAACAGTAAGAAATGAGCTAGCCACTAACATATAGGTTTTGTAAGATTTTAGTAAAAGAAAAAGTACTGTTTAACTACATATGTGATCTCTAGTATTGTTGTATGTATTACAAGTCTAAAAACTGCATGCACAGCTGTTTAAATTTAATTTGTCTTTGTAGTGGAAGACAGGGCTTTAGTATTTTTCAGAACTGAAGCAAAGCTTAGCAAAGTTTAGTGAGAACATATTGCCGCTTTATATATGAGGGAGTATAACCATCATTGCAAAATGAACAAACTGTAATAAACTGTTATATTTTATAAAAATCTTGATTTGGCAACCAGATTTCTTAGAGTTTGTAGCCCAGCTGTGTTGTTGCTTCGTGGAGTTCTTCTGTTGAAACTCCTTAACAAAGCAGGCCATCTGAAATCAAAATCTGAATGGCTATTTACACCTCTGTAAAAGGATTAGCAATGCTCCATTGTTACAATGTTTAAATCTTAATTTGCATCATTATAGAGGTGTAGCTTCATCAAATCCCTGGTAGGTCCCAGTTATGTTTTTGGACCTGTAGGTGGTCACTAAATTTATTCTGTTAGTGGAGTTAAAGGAATTAAATTGTTCAATGTGTCAGTAATTTTAAGAAATTATCTCAGGATCTAATTGATTTTGGATAGTTTAAATGCTATTGTAGATTATTACTACACGTTTGTTGCATATAGTTGCAAGATGTGTCTCATACATAGGAAGGGAATGTATGTATATTGCTATGGAGTTTGAATATATATCACTTAAAGAATTTCCATTAGGATTTACAGGAACATGTTTTCACTATAGATTGGCCCAAGCTGCAAAGTTGAGATCTGGATTTTAAAAACCCTCTGTCCCATTGTTCCAGCAGCACTCAGATCTGAAGTTTCAGTTCAGGCCTGTCTCTGGTTTTAATATATATGAGTATCATATGGTCTATGCAAGGGATGTTTAAAAACTGAAACTGTTGTATTACTTTCTTTTGGGAGAAAATAGTCTAGTACAGTGGTTCTCAACCAGGGGTCCAGGGCCCCCTGGAGGGCCGCGATCAGGTTTCAGGGAGTCTGCCAAGCAGGGTCAGCGTTAGTTGCTGGAGCCCAGGGCAGAAAGATGACACCCCCCCACACACACATGGGGCTGAAGCCTGGGGCCCTGAGCCCCGCCACATGGGGTTGAAGCCGAAGCGTGAGCAATAGAGGTTTGCAGGGTCACCATGCAATTGCCCCACTTGCTACCCCTAATGCCAGCTCGGGCTTTTATACACAAAAAAAGCCAGTAGTTATGGCACAGGTGGGCCATGGAGTTTTTATAGCATGTTGGGGGAGCCTCAGAAAGAAAAAGATGATTGAGAACCCCTGATCTAGTAGAAAGTACAAATAACACTTTTGTAACCACTTTTATGAAAAACAGATTAATTTTTGAAACCTTTAAAAAAATTAACACAGAGATACTATAGACTCATACGTATAAAGTTCATTTGGCAACCAGGTAAGATGAGCAGAGTTTAAAGAAAGCCAAGAAATTTTTTGGTGTCTGGGTCTCAACTTCACAGGCAGTTTCGTTATAGCAGATGCCAGTAAAACCCACTACAGCTAAAGGCAACCTGCAAGGGAAATAGAGGGCTTGTGCTCTTTTTTTCTTTATGAAGGATTTTAAAAAGAACTTGTGTGTGTGTGTGTATTTCTGTATATAAAAATGATCAAATGATCGTATATGTATATGTAATGTATGTATTTTTTCTATTGTTAGAGGTTCAGGTTCTGTCTAACTGGCACACTGGTTGAATAACAAGTGAAGTATTTACACCACAAGTCAAGAGAGTGAAAGATGAGCAAAGAGTGAAAGAGAGTTAAATACTTTGTGAACACCTATGTAACTTCAACATCAAAATAACGTTCGGGAGAAGAGAAGCCTTTACCTTCAGCACGCTCACATCTTCAGATAAAGGACAAGAGGTCACAAAATACATGTTCTGAGCCTTCTGGCGCAGTGGCTCTCAACCTTTTTGGACTCAGGACCCATTGGTAGATGTTGGTGGCCTGCTGCAACCCAGTGAATAGCTTTAGTGCAAAAAACACCTGGCTCACTAAATATTTTTTACCATGATCTATAATATACACGTTAACCTAATAAGTACACTGTTTGTACCAGAGCAATGAGTCCTGTGCTGCGGGGCTGTTTGAGCTTGGCGCTCTGCTCCGGGCATTGCGACCTGGTGCATGAGGTCACAGCAGCATTCACTCAAATTTGGCATGGCTGGACTCCCATCATCATGACAGCAATGCAGTTGAACCAAACCTGAGTGGTCTACAACCCCGTGCACCATGTCGCAACATCTGGAGTGGAGAGCCGAGCTCAGCCAGCCCTTTGGACCGGTGAGTCACCACTGCAGGGTGAGCGTGAGGCCTCCCACGTGACCCTTTGACACATTCTGGCGACTCAGTTATGGATCGTGATCTATGGGTTCCTCCAGTTAAATCAGGGAAGACCAGAGTTTACATTCCTGATATTCCTAGAGTAAAAAACAACCAACCAAAAACACACCCAAGAAGAGAAAATATCTCTTTAATCTCAGCCTTTCTGGCCTTTTCTTAAACATTGTAAAGAAGCAAAGGAGGGCACAAACGCATTCTTTAAAAAAAACTTAGCAGGCCTTTTTTAAAGTTGCAGTGCATTTTCTATTTTAACCCCTTTGCAGAGGCACTCATAACTTTCTGAAATATTCACTTTTGGGGCTGAAATTTTTTATGCTGCTTCACTTTTCAAAGAGGGTGTGTGTGTGTGTGTGTATGTGTATGTAAAAGGATAAGCTGAATCCATTCCTTTCAGCCATTTTTGAGTAAAAGGGTGTGGGAAAAAAAACACTTCAGCCCTATAAAAAAATTCTGGTGTGTTTTTGATCATGATTCAAGAAAGTTGTGAAAGGTGAAATTTGACATGGAAAAAGTCCCTGGTTAAGGATTAGCATGTGGTTTTGGTTTGGGGGAAAGGAAGGATTAATTTATCAAAGTTATTGTGTTGGTGAACGGGATATATTATCCGCCCTCACAAGCACTTTATACTATGTATCTTTGCTAGTTCTGACCCACGTTCATCTACTCCCCCATTTGAAATAAACAAATGCCAAAAGGTATCTCTCCACATCAAGGGCAATAAAACAAATTTGGAGTCTGTAGGACAAGCCATTTTGGAGATGTGAGCTGAAACAAGTTAAGAAAACTTCCCAAAAGTCAGTAAGAGGTGAATATTTTTTTAAACCCTGCGAGTAGGATTTCCCAAAGCACTTGGCGATGGCCTAGCTCTGATCCCACTGAAGTTAGTGGTAAATTGAAAATCACATCCCATCGCTGTAAAACTCCTTTTCTGATACTTTATTTTTCCAAACATCCCAGTAGTGTGTGTTTTGAAAGAGATACTAACTCTTCCTCCATCTCTGCCACTCTTTCTCAAAGGGCTAGGACATTTTATAGTTAATGGGAGAAAACAGTATTTAACCCTCTCCTACCCCTTTCTACATTTTCCCTCACCCATAAACCCTCGTTTTATATTTTTCCTGCTCATACATGCAGAGTTTGTTCTTATATTTTTGTCTTTTCCTTTTTGTTTCTCTGCTTATTGATCTGCTTTTACATGTGGAGGATTGTTGGCCTGAGGTTTCTTGTGGATAGAGGGGAGGGCAGGATGACAACATATATCAGGAAGCGCAAATTTGCCCAGCCATCTCGTTGCCAATTTCACTGACCCTGGTAGCCATTGAAGTCCTTGTGAAGCTCTCTGTCATCTGTGGATGAGAAGTGCTATATAGGTATTAAAGGATTATGGATTATAGATTATGATTCTGGATTATAATTATGGCTTCTTATTCCTTATGTGGCCAAGTCTACAGAGGTTTCCAAAAACTAGAGCAAAGGGCTGATTTCTGTGAAGCTGGCAGGAACCCAAAGACAGCCCCTGAAAACAGGGACACATGTTCACCCTTATTAAAAATAAAACACACTTTGGTGCTATTGAAACATGGCCTCCAAAGACCACTGGCAGAAATGTAAAAGAATTGTAGGAGTTCAAGATTTTTTTTTTCTTTTTCTGCAGAGCTACAGCAATATTGTTTTTCTGAAAGGTAATTCTCAGTTTCACTAGCAATATAAATGTAGATTTAGCACTTTTCTAAAAAGCGGTTTATATAGTTTTCTGTTTCATATCTGTTTTTCCTCTTATGGTATTCATTTACCTTATTTTGGGAGTCTGCCTGAGTTCTGTCCTTTTTGTCAAGACTTTTAACCTTTTTGTAAACCTCTTAGTGTGAGTGAAAGATTAAAATAAGGATATAAATCAAAATATTTTAGAATTTGCTCAGAGGCAAAGTCTATCTAAATGTATACATATTGTTTGACTTGTGCTCAGTAGAATGCAGTTTTAAAAGCTTTAAAACATTGTTTGTTATCTGTCTTCAGGGATTGTCTGTCATTTGAAGGATTCTCCCATTTACTCCAGTTCATAGAAGATTTGGTGGCGAAAGCAGCACCTGAGTGCCTAACTTTATACCAAAGTGGAACCATAAGTCTGGCAAAAATGAAGAAGTTAATAAGGTTGATGCAAATTTCATTTGATCTACATCAACAGAACTCTAAATTAAAAAGTAGACATTAGAAACGTATAGTATTTCCTATTCCCCAGTCCTATCCCATTTATATTGTCCTTTTGCTTTAGTGTCCCTAGCTGTAACATCTATAAATAAAATTTTGCTTTAAATTGTTTGTTGGCTACTAGCTTTGAATTTGGCTCTGGTGACTGGAAGTTGTTACCTCTGGCAGCTGTTCAGTGACCTTTGAGATATAAGCTGGTGGTCTGTGGTCTTCATTCTGTTGGTGAAAAGGGGCAGAGAGGGAAAGACCTCCTCCAAACTGACATCTACAGTAGTTAACAAAAAAACACACTTCTGTTGTCAGCAAAAAGCTGAAATATGACATTAGGAACCCCGTCCCACCAAATTATTTTAATAAATAAGGGTTCTACTCAGCCTAAATGTTCAGAAGGTTACTCTAGCCCTTGGAAGTGGCCATTAGTGCTGGGATTAGTGTAAAAAGTGATGATACCATATGCTTCTTTCCGGGTTGGCAGCGGAAAACTGTAACGAAGAATGTATGTAAATAGTGGTGTGATATTGTCCTGTGCCTGTCTGCAGCTATGAAACACATCGTTTGGCATCTCACTATGTCTACAAATCCAGGCACTGGGAGTGAAAGGTCTTTATTGTATTTATTAAAGATTGGCATCTGTAATTAAATGTTGCCATAAAAAAGATCTGTTTATTTTAGGGAGATATAAGGAAGGTTTCCAAAACAAGTCAGAATTATTTGTCTGTACAATGGATATAATTAGAAATTGTTTTCTGCGTCAACATGGTATTTACCTTCACTGTGGCAATTCCAGGAATCCCTATACTTATAACTATATTTAAGAACATAAGAGTGACCATACTGACTCAGACCAATGATCAGTCTAGCTTGTCCTGTCTTCTGACAGTGGCCAGTGCCAGGTGCTTCAAAGGGAATGAACAGAATAGGGCAATTTATTGAGTGATGCATCCCTGGTCATCCAGTCCCTGCTTCTGGCAGTCAGAGGTTTAGGGACACTCAGAACATGGGGTTGCATCCCTGATCATCTTGGCTAATAGCCATTGATGGACCTATCCTCCATGAATTTATCTAATTCTTTTTTGAACTTAGTTATATTTTCAGCCATCACAACATCCCGTGGGAGCAGGCTGACTGTGCCTTGTGTGAAGAAATACTTCCTTTTGTTTGTTTTAAACCTGTTGCCTTGTTAATTTCATTGGATAACGCCTGGTTCTCATGTTCTGTGAAGTGGTAAATAAAACTTATTTATTCATTTTCTCCATATCATTCATGATTTTATAGACCTCGATCAGATCCTCCACACCCCCCAGTCATCTCTTTTCCAAGCTGAACAGTCCCAGGGTTTTTAATGTCTCCTCATATAGAAGCTCTTCCATCCCCCTAATCAGTTTTGTTGCCCTTCTCTCTACTTTTTCCAATTCTAATATATCTTTTTTTGAGATGGGGCAATCAGAACTGATGCAGTTCAACATGTGGGTGTACCATGGATTTATATAGTGGCGTTCTAATATTTTCTGTCTCATTGTCCATCTCTTTCCTAGTGGTTCCTAACATTGTTCGCTTTTTTGATGGCCACTACACATTGAGTGGATCTTTTCAGAGAACTATCCACAATGACTCCAAGATCTTTCTTGAGTGGTTACAGCTAATTTAGACCCCATCATTTTGTATATATAGTTGGGATTATGTTTTCCAATGTGCATTACTTTCCATTTATCAACACTGAATTTCTTCTGCCATTTTGTTGCCCAGTCACCCAGTTTTGTGAGATCCCTTCGCCGTCAACTTTGGACTTAACTATCTTGAATAATTTTGAATTGCCTGAAAACTTTGCCGTCTAACTGTTTATCCCTTTTTCTAGATCATTTATGAATATGTTGAACAGTACTGGTCCCAGTACAGATCCCTGAGGGACCCTGCTGTTTACCTCTCTCCACTGTAAAAATTGACCATTTATTCCTACCCTTTGTTTCTTATCCTGTAACCAGTAACTGATCCATGAGAAGACCTTCCCTCTTATCCCATGACTGCTTACTTTGCTTAAGAGTCTTTGGTGAGAGTCCTTGTCAAAGGTTTTCTGAAGTATACTATATCCACTGGATCACCTTTGTCCACACGCTTGTTGACCCCCCTCAAAGAATTCTAATAAATTGGTGAGACATGATTTCCCTTTGCAAAAGCCATATTGACTCTTCCTCAACATATTGTGTTCATCTATGTGTCTGATAATTCTGTTCTTTACTATAGTTTCAACCAATTTGTCTGGTACTGAAGTTAGGTTTACCAACCTGTAATTGCCAGGATTGCCTCTGGAGCCTTATTTAAAATTAGTGTTACTTTAGCAATCCGCCAGTCAGCTGGTACAGAGGCTGATTTAAGCCCATGGTTCTCAACCTTTCCAGAGTACTGTACCCCTTTCAGGAGTCTGATCTGTCTTGCATATCCCAAGTTTCACCTCACTTTAAAAACAACTTGCTTACAAAATCAGACATAAAAATACAAGTGTCACAGCATGCTGTTACTGAAAAATGGCTTACTTTCTCATTTTTACCAAATAATTATAAAATAAATCAACTGGAATATAAATATTGTACTTACATTTCAGCATATAGTATATAGAACGGTATAAACAGGTCATTGTTTATATGCAATTTTAGTTTGTACTGACTTCGCTAGTGCTTTTTATGTAGCCTATTGTAAAACTAGGCAAAAATCTAAATGTCTTGATGTACCTCCTGGAAGACCTCTGTGTGCCCCTGGGGGATGTGTACCCCTGGTTGAGAATTTAAGCAATAGGTTACGTAGCGCAATTAGTAGTTCTTCAATTTCATATTTTAGTTCCTTCAGAACGGTTGAGTGAATACCATCTGGTCCTGGTGACTTATTACTGTTTAATTTATCAGTTTAACTACTGTTGATGTCGAGGCCCCAGTCCTGCGAACACTTATGCACATTCTTAACTTTATGCACGTGAATAGGCCCATTGACTTCAGTTGCACTACTCATGTGCACGAAGTTAAGCACACATGTAAGTGTTTGCATGGTCCCACTACAACGGATGGCACTGAACTTTGTGTTGTTTCAATCTTAATGGTTGCATCCAGACTTTTAGCTCCAAAAAATAGCTGGTAGATATATTTTATTGCATCCAGGATTCACAAGGCTGCCAGGTGACAAAAGTTATTGCAAGAACTAATCTTGATATAATCAACAATATAAAACTTTACCTTTTTAAAGATTGGTTGATAGGTTGGTTTAGCTCCTCTGGAATATTCATGTGGTGTTTCTTGTCATGGGAATAATTATTTTTCAGGTGTAATATCCACAGCCAAAGGGCATTAAGGAGTTAAAAAGTTGGATTTGATCCCTGGGTTTTTAAAAAAAATCTTTTTCTAACTACATTGCTCTTATTTTATGTCTTTGTCAAGAGACATTGTCATGGCTGCATTTTTATGTCTAGATTATATTACTGATTATTATTCCATAAACCATGAGAATTATTGCAGATTCTATATCCAAACCTATTTTAGCTGTCTGTCTGGGCTTAAATAAACATTTCATGCAGCACTTGTTTTATTTTATAGCTTTTGTAATCAAACTGGCAATTTGAAAGAGGAAGACCTTGAGGCATGTGAAGCAGTTGTCCTTCATCAGCTTCAGGGATTGTTGCAGAACACATTGAATGGATGCCTCTTACCTGGGAAAACACTTAATGACAGAGGTAGATCTACAGATGAAAAACAAGCCAGGTATCATAGTCACAAAACTAATGCAATCATACAATTAATGTTCTTACTCTTTGTCTGAATTTGTTTCTGAATGTGTCACGAAAAGAAAGCAGAATATAGGTCAAACCCTATGAGTGACATTAAAATTTCAAGTGTCAGAGCGGTAGCCATGTTAGCCTGGATCTGTAAAAGTGGCAAAGAGTCCTGTGGCACCTTCTAGACTAATGGACGTATTGGAGCATAAATCCGACGAAGTGGGTGTTCACCCACGAAAGCTCATGCTCCAATATGTCTGTTAGTCTATAAGGTGCCACAGGACTCTTTGCCGCTATAAAAATTTCAGAATTCCAAGAGGTGATCTACACACACTTCAATATCAGCCATGTGATTCAAGCATTCTAAATTAGCAGATTAAGTCTTTTTTTTTTTTATTTACTAGTCAGTTTTTAAAATCATTTCAGTTGAGCTCTTCTCACTAAATGGTTGTGCACCTATTTGCTTTTACATGTTAAGTGTAAAGTTTTTTCTCATTTTAAATAAGACATTATATAGATTTAGCTCTGCCTTCCATTTGCATTAACGAGAGATATGTGGCTAAAATCCACTGGTCAACTTCAAAATGTACCATTAAAATATACACTTCCCTAACCTAGAAAGGTAGGTGGACTGACTTTCAACAGCAAAAAAGTGCTCTTTGGTTTGCCTAGTCATCATAGACTCTGCACTGTCAGGGAGAAGACTTGCACTGGATTCCCAGTGTACTGCACCCCGGCCAGCAAATTGATTGAATTTCTCAACAGTGACTCCTTTTGCTGATTGAGGAATAATATTAAACTTGAAAGGGATCTCATATAGTTGTCCTTTATTTTTGAAAGGCGAGTGGTTGCAATGGGGAACCACAAGGATGTGGGATATAAATTTGAGGAGTAAATAAGGATTCTTACAAAGATGCATCTTTCTGGGAAGGAGAAGAGGGAAACACAGCTGCTTCTAACAGAGTGCTCAGTGTGTGGTTTATATTCTGTTTCTGAAATACTATACAAAGTATCTTTCTAAAAAGGAAGATACATACATATACAATACTTACAGATAAACTGGTAATTCTGTTGAGAGCCCAGGTTGTGAAACATATGGCCAGCATAGAGGCATTTATTTGTGTCCCAGAAAACATTGTGCATTATTATAAACATTCACTTTGTAGTGAAAGTTAGAATTAAATGTTGCAAAACTGTTTCCGTATAAACTTCTGTTTTCATATGTTTATGCTAGTTCTTAATAGAAACACCTTTTTTGGATGTTTGCTCTTGGTTCCAAGGAGAATTTTCCTCACAGTTTCCAAACTAATTCAATCAGTCATTTTTGAGTTAAATAGAGGAAATAATACTATTTTCACTTAAAAAAACAACAAAGCACTTCTTTATTAGACTAGAATCAATTAAAATTGACTGAAATTTGAAACTTAAATTGGAGATAGCCTTCAATGATGAATAGTGTCTTTGCTGGATTTGAAAAAAAAATGTTTGAAATTAAACAAAGTTTTGATCATATATTAAAACTTGGAACGGAGCATGCACATTTACAAGTGTGTACTCTCAGGTATACTCACTGCCCCTGTGTGCTGCGCAGGATGTATGCACTTGAAAAAAAGGGATGAGGGGAATAGCAGTTGGTCTGTTTAGCATCTTCACAATTTATACTTTTGACCAGCTTCAAGTCCCTTATTCATTTTTTTCCTCTCATTCATGCCCCTTCACTCCCCCTCCCCAGTAGAGTTTATTTGAATGTGTGATCATGTTTCAGATACTGAGGCTTCATATTCCAGCCACGGAAATTTGAAATTCATGGTTCTCCACTGGCTTCCCTGACTGGCCAATCTTTGTACTCTCCTCCCCAGTTGTAGGTTGGGATTTAAGGCCTATCCCTGATTTCCTTAATCCAGAGGCTGGGATAACTAAATTGAAATTAAAATGGAACTTTATAAGAATGGACCTTAAAGGTTGGACAGTTCAAATAAAAAAATGTAACTTCCCAAGAGAAATTTAATGCTGTCATGATGCTTTTACTGGCCTGAAGCAAGAACAGAAATAAAAAATACTAATTAAATTGCTTAACATATTATTACAATTTGTTTTTAGTTTTTAAATCTATAGTATAAAATCAACTCTATCTGCCATGTGCTTGAGTTAACATTGCTGAAGGAAATCTTTAGCTTTTGCATTCCCTGATTTTTATTGTAAGTGTGAACCCTTAATGGTTAATTATTTTGTATATACTATTGTAGAAGTCTAGAATGTTTCCTTTTCATGCACGTGCCACAAGGCAAGGGAAGGTTTCATTAGAGAGATCATTTGCTGGCACAGTAATGAAAACAGAACTCCCTCCCCATGCCTTACTCCTTAATGTTTATGCCCTAATATATAACATGAGTAAAGTTACAGGAATGCCTGTGTTTGCAGGATCAGGGCACTTATTAGCAGTGAAGTACCATTCATTTCACAGGATTTAGTTGTCCTTTGGAGACAGATACGTCTCTGAGCACTGATGTATTATTGCAGTATTTCCTAAGCTGTTTCTCAGGAAAATACACCTATAGCATTAAATGAAACTTGCTTCTTCTTGAATTTGTGAAACTTCTTCGGAATTGGAGCAATTTTTTTAAAATAATTTTTTTACCAGATGTAGTAGGGAATATTTTTCAGTATCTGGATTGTTGTGAAAAATTGAAAAGCCACTTTTGCTGACAAATCCCCATAAGTGTGGATTTTGAAAAAGCTGCTGGAGAAAAAAGTGTTATCAGGCTGTTTAGTAGATTAAGCAAAGTATTATTAGGGCCAGATAGTTGCAGAAGGGAAACGGAACTCAAGACCTCCTGGCTCGCAGCACTACCTTTAATCCAGTATATCATGTGACTAGGAATATTTGTAAAGTGTGTATCAGTGCAATAGAATGTTGCTATTTTATAGTAATGACTGGAAGATCTATTATGGAACACTGAATTTTGCAAATTGCCAAGTAAGATGTAAGAGACTAGGGCATACATGGTGTGGCCTAGCAGTCATGATCAGAGTCAGGCTGGAGTTAGAGACTGGGGATCAGAGGTAGTACTAAGCTAGAGTCAGGGTCAGGCTGGGATCAGAGACCACTGATCAGGAGACCAGATGAGGTCTGGAGTTGCACCAGGCCCAAAATCTCTGGTGTTGACCAGCAAACTTCTTGGGGCACCTTCCAGAGTTAAATAGGGTTGCTGGCCAATCAGAGGGCTGCAAGATACTGTCACTCTGGGTCCCTTGGGCTGTACTTCCTGCAGCGCCTATTCTCCACAGTCCACCCTGGCTATGGCTCTGCATGGCCTCCCAGAGGGACTGTGAGAGAGTCAGCTATCCCATGCTCTGCGAACTCAGGTCCTAGGCCCTGCAGCCTTACGTTAGTGAACAAACTCAGTAAATCCTGAATAAAGCATCACACTGTCATGCACATTGACAACTATACTGTATTTTTAATCATCTCTGATAATTCTATGTAGTGTATTATTAAATGTACCCAGACTATGGCAACAACATTGATTATGTGAGCACTAATGTGAGTGCACGAAGGAGGAGGTAATCAGAATAAAAGGAGTTACATTCATTTCATCTAAATTTGTAGGACGGGGATGGCAAGGATTCATCAAGTGTAAAGGGACAAAGTCTGTAGACACAGAAATGTTGTTTTCCACTTTCAGCGAGGATATTACAAATTGATTTTTTAAAAAGTAGTTAATATCTCATTGGTTATATGGCACAAAACAAAAAGATATGAATAGTGTGGGCTGATTTTACATTTTATTGGCACACCGTGTCTATCGTATTTACTGCATGTGTCTGTTTTCCAGGTGTGACCTGCCATTGGATTTTGCCATGTTATGGGAACGTTTGTGCAAACACATTTTATTCTTGAAAAAACACCATGTTTTGTTGAAGGAAGAAGTAAAAGAGATGTTTGGAACTTTACTGATTTCAGAAAAAAATGCACAAGGCGGCCAGGTTAGCACTTACGATCATTCAGCAGTTTTGCTTACTGGTAATCAAACCGTTCGTGTGTGTGCACGCGAATGTGTGTCTGTGGCTACAGCCTGAGGTTTTGGAGAAAAATAGATATAAAAAAATCTTTTTTTTCAAAGCCTGTTTAGACTTACAAATAGACTTCAGCTGTCACAAAGGTCCCCTGCTATGATTCTTGTGATCAGTGATCACTACTGTGAAAGTTTAATCTCTCACTCTTTGTTCTTTCCCTTTCTCGCTTGTGCACTGATAGCAGCTATTTAGAAATATGCATACGTTTATAGGAATAAGCGATATTTGTATAAGCACCATTATACCAGTATAGTAGTGGCCAGTTGTACCACTTTACCCGTACCAGTTTCTAAACCATTATGGTTCAGGTAGTGTAAAAATTATTTAGACAAGCCCCAAGGCAGCTGCAGCTTTATCAGCTATCATGTTTTTGTCTTATTCTTTTTTCATTTGAAAAAGCGACACCAGGAAATTCCATACCAAAAAATAAATACTTTAAAGTTGCAAGAATCAAGAAATGCCAAATTATATAACCACTTACTGTTGTGTTCTCAGGACCTTTATCTTGTTCCATGTACTATCTATTCATAAATGTGTATGCATTTGTTTGTAATCTCACCAGAAGAAAAATATATAATGTGTAAATCAGTGGCAATATCTACATAGTAAATCATACTGGAGGAAAAAACAAACAAACATAAGTCACTAACCCTATCTGACATTTTTCTTTTATTAAAAAAACCCCGAGAATGTCAGAAAAAAATTGCCATTCTTAATCAGACTCTGAGATAGTTGAAGGGTGGTTGGGGAGAAGAAAGAGGGGTCTCCATTTATTTTCTTCATGGAATAAAGCATTTTAAAGAATTTCTTCAAGATTTTCAGTAAGGCATCAGTATTCCCCGGCCTCACAAAATCCATATTTTAAATTAGATAGATGTGCTATAGTGAAACCAGGAAAAAAAATAATCACAAGCCCATTGTATCTCATTGTTCTCTGTCCATCAGTCTCTCTAGATTAATAGCTTTTCATCATGAGTGATAGCTTTTTTTGTTTCTTAAAATAGTATTGTAATGTTTGGTATACTAAATTTATATGGACAATTTTACAAACAAGGCCATTGTGTACACTTTTAAAACTTTAATATATATGGTTATAAACCAGCTCCCTGTAAAAAGAGCTGGCAGTTTGATGGACCAGATACCGCCCCCACCAATCCTACCACAAATCTCGAGTAAATGGGCTTTGCACAGAGGCCGTAAGGGGATAGAAGAATAGAATCCCCCCCCCCCCGCCCCAGCCTGGCAGCTTGGATTGAACTAGCTGTGCGGCAGCTGGGCTGTCACTGAGCCCAAGAACCATAGTAATAGTTGGGGCTCTTGCACACCCTCTGCAGGGAAAGTGTAGTTACTTTCAGACCCTTTGTGGTTTTCACTCTGTGCAGCAGAGCACTGATGGTTCCATCTGTGACTGAGGATTTCTGTACTTGCTGGCAAGGACACAGAGGCATTTGTCTGTATGTTGTGGTGACTTTTTAAAATTTATACATAGCTGTTATGTAATGCTTTGGATTGTTGATTAGAAAGCTCGTTACAGAAGAAGGTGAGAATCATTATCCCCACTTTACAGATGGGGAAATGAACACAAAGTGACTTGCCTAAGCATCCACAGCAGGCTAGTGTCAGATCAAGGAACAGAACCCAGGTCTCCTGACTCCTAGACCTGTGCCCTATCTGCTAAACCGTACTGTTTCCTCAAGAGGAGATGGATCATTATTGTCATCCAGGGTATCGCTCTTTTCTACCTTTAAATTATGAGTTTGTAACAAGACTTCTTTGCATGAATCCATAATCAAAAATCAGCCCTTTGCACATCACAGAGAGCAGATATGTTATGAACGGTTAATCAGATTTAGATTTTTTAATCTACTTTTTTTTATAGATCGTTCACAGCTCAAAAAATAAACTGAACAAATAATTTACAAATCTTGTTTTTCCCCCCCTCATTTAAGCAGTTTCCAGAGGTAACTGATTTTATATTTTTTTTAATGTTTCAGTAAAATCATGGCCCAAACAACAATGTATAATATTTTGGTACATTGGATCTTTATTTTAAATTGTAGTCAAAGTAATTGTACTTTTAAAAGAAATATGGGTAAATAGTTTGCAAGTCTGAAAGCCAATGCACTTTTCCTGAGCAAGAGACCCAGTCAAGGGATGTATCTTTGAACTGATAGTAAATATATTTACAATATTTGTGGAGCTACCCTTATACATTTTATCTTTGGTTATAGCAATGGGGAAGAGATTGCAATGAGGCTAGAACATTGAATGTATGATGACAATCAGGTGAGAATTTGAATAAAGATAGTAAAGAAAACAGGATTTATATCTGGAGTTCAGTAACATAAGCACTTTATTGCTCAGCATATGCACTATAATCTGTTTGCTGTTGTGTTACACTGGTACCCATGTGTGCATGCATTTATTTTTGTATTAGATCTACTAATCAGGATACATTCTCAAGGGAATTTATCTTCAGGATAGATTTACCTTGGAAACCTCTTACTTACAAGGAAATTGCTCAGGACAATAGGCTTCCATGAAGTAGCCTATATAAATAAGGATAAAATACAAAGGCACACAGCTCATTAAATAAAACACATACATTAAAGCTCGTTGGATTCCTGGAAATGTTTAAACTACCTGCTATTAAATTCTTTAGAATAGAACACATTTTATGCTAAATGTTTATTCTGCCTCTACACATGCATCTGCATTTTGAAGTACAAATACCTGTGTGTTGAAAAAAGTCAAATATTTGCACTCAGAACCCCCAAATGGACAAAAAGAGGCCAGGTGGAGTTGTGATTTAATTATTTTGTCCATTATGTGCACTTAGGGTTCTTAATTATTAGCACTTTAAGATTAATACAGTTTTCAGGCCATTTTTGAAGATTTACTGTACTGACAGATGACGATTCCACCAAACCATACATTGCTGGCTCCATGTATTACACTGTGATATTTTGTCACAGCATTGCTAAAACATCCAAGAGTATGCAAAGCCCTATCAGCGTTCCAAACGTGCACATAAATCCACTTGTGGAGGAACCCCATGGGCAGAGTTGGGAATGCTTTAAATAAGCATCCTGAACCTAAGGAGATTCCCATCAGTCTCTGTAAACCTCCATCACACAATCAGCCAGTTCCTCATTCAACAAGCCTGATGGTCTCAGAAGTGTTTGGCTGTGACCAGTCAACCTAATTTCCCTTCTAGCATCTTCAGAAGGCAGATGACGTGACCTTCTGTTTTGGCATATTCTCTTCTCTTTCCCCAACCCTAGGTTACCTTTGTCCAGTCCCTCCATGTGGTGGTCTCCACTCAAAAAGCTGTGGAGTCTCCCTCTTCCTTCCTGACTGTAGTGTTGCCCGGCTTGCTTCCTTTCTCTCTTCTCACTCTCCCCTTGCCCCCCATGTCTTACCATCCATTTCTTTCTCTTCCCCCCTCTTCCCATCCCCTCCCATGGATGTTTCCTCTTTCATTGCCAGATACTTTGAGAATACCTGATGCTCCTTTTGTGGCTTTAGGGCTAGTTGTAGGGTGTTTCCTCGGATGGGACTCTCCCTGTCTTTTTCTTTTGGTGGGGAGGGCATCTTGACCTTGAAACTTCAGGGTCTGACTTATGAAAGGAACTTTCAGAAAGTATTTCTGATCGAGTTCTTCATGCTCAGTTACACTCCAGTAAATATAGGACCAATGCAGCTTATTTTAGAACATGGGCCATCTTTTTAGCCTGATGTAGATCCTACCAGACTTTGGTTAAGAAGGCCTCTCTCCAGACATGCTGGAGACCCTAATAAGGGTGTGAGAGTTTGGTTCCTGCTGGTCCAGACATCACCCCTTGTACTTTCTGGGATTTCATTGTGGGATGTCTGATGTGAAGCCACCCCATTTTATCTGGATCCCTAAATGTAATACTTAGTTTCCATTTATTACCTGTGAATGATAATTGGGAATGGTTTAACAATACTTCACTAGAGGCACAAAAAGTCACAGTGAAGGAAGAAGGCCATATTAGTGTGTGGAAAAAAAAAAAACAAAAAACAAAAAAAAAACCCCAACCTGGTTTAAAGGGGAAATGAAGGCAGCTACAAAAAATAATTATATAATATTAACATATGGAAGAAAGGGGGAATTGAATATAAATAAGTAGTTAGCAATTATAGGAAATGGATAAGAGAAGTAAAAGGGCATGAGAAATCTATGCCCAGTTGAGTTAAGGACAATAAGAAGGAATTTTTAGAAATATATATTGGGAACAAAGAGAATCTAAGAATGGTAGTCGTCCATTACTAAATGGAAAGGATAGAATGATTAATAGTAATGCAGAAAAGGCTGATGTGTTCAAAACATATTTGTTATGCATTTGAGGAAAAAATAGATGACATAGTTCTATCATATGATAACACTCTTTCCATTTGTCTACTATCTCAGGAATATGTTAAGCAGCAGCTGCTGCTAAAACAAATGTTTTTAAATCAGCAAGTCCAGATAACTTGCATCCAGGAGTTTTAAAAGAGCTGACTAAGGAGCTCACTGAAGCATTAACGTTGATTTTCAATAAGTCTTGGACGAATGTGGAAGTTTCCAGAGGAAAGCTAGTGTTGTGCCAATATTTAAAAAGGGTTAACAGGATGATGTAGTTAATTTATAGGCCTGTTAGTCTGACATCTAACCGGGGCAAGATAATGGAGTGGCTGATACGGGACTCAATTAATAACGAATTAAAGGAGGTTAATATAATTAATGCCCAACCAACATGAGTTTATGGCAGATAAATTTTGTCAAATTTGATATTTGTTTTTTTAATGAGATTACAAGTGTGGTTGATGAAGATTAAGGTGTTGTAATATACTTTTGATTTGGTACTCAGGACATTTTGACTTTAAAAAACTAGAAAGATCTAAAATTAACATGGCACACATTAAATTGTGGCTCAGAGGTCTCAAAATGTGATTGTAAATGGGGAATCATCATTCAGTGAGTGTTTCTAATAGAGTCCCACAGGGATTGGTTCTTGGCCCTGCAGTATTTAATATTTTTTAGTGTCCTGGAACAAAACATAAAATCATCACTGATTAAAACTTTCAGATGACGCAAAAATTGGGGGAGTGGTAAATAAAAAGAGGACCTGTCGCTGATACAGATTGATCTGGATTATTTGATAAACTGGGCACAAGCAAACAATATACGTTTTCCTATGGCTAAATGTATATATCTAGGCACAAAGAACCTACCATACTTCTGTGATGGGAGACTCTATCCCTGAAAGCAATGACTCTGAAAAAGATTGGCGGTGGGGGGAGGGAGGCAGGGTGAGAAGGGATAAAGAGCTCAATATTACTAAGCTTAACAAAGAAGGTTAAGAGGTGACTTGATTAGTCTATACATATTTACATGGGGAATAAATATTTAATAATGGGCTCTTCAATCTAGCAGAGAAAGATACAACTTGGTCCAATGGCTGGAAGTTGAAGTAGACAAATTCAGACCAGATATAAGGCATACTTTTTTTTTTAATGTATTTATTTTTAAACAGTGAGAGTAATTAACCATTGGAATAATTTACCAAGGGTCATGGTGGATTCTCCATCACTGACCATTTTAAAATCAAGATTGGATGTTTTTCTAAATATTAAGATCTAGGAATTATTTTGAGGAAGTTCTATGGCCTGTGTTATACAGGTCAGATTAGCTGATCACCGTGGTCCCTTTCTGGCCTAGAATTTGTGATGGTGCACATGTCCATCAGTAACAGCATAAAATATATTAGGAGTAGAACCTTTGTTATGTCCGTTGAATTGCTTCTGATATACTACATTAGATTTGCATTGTGATGTACTCTCAATTGGAAATAAGTCTGTCTTTTCAATAATAAAAATATTTTGTGACCCTGGCTATATAACCTAATTTATTTTTAACATTAACAAAAAGCAATTGCTTAGAATTTCCCTGATTTTTGTTGATGTGCTTTTGTTATTTTCATGTATTGAAATCCTGTGCATGAGGTCAATTTGAAAAACAAAACAAAACCTTCACTGAAAGTTATTTGCTTACAACTCAGAAAGAGCCATTGTGGTCTCTTGGGTAAATAGCGGATTAAGAAAAAAAGCAAATGAGTAATATTTACCTATGGGACCTGAATGATTCCAGTTGGAGCCATTCCATTCTCACAGGTAAACATATAAAGAAAGTCACAAAATCTAGGATTATTTCCGTGAGACATCAGTCCAGATCCTTGGAGGCTGCCTCATTTATTGAACCATTAGATAATTAGAGCTTGAATCTAGTAAGATTTGCAGAATCAGACCCCTAATTTGCACACTATATAATAAAAATCCTTAACAGTTGGTGGAAGTAAAAAAAATGGAAACAATGCTGTATATTGATAAAAGGTTCATTTGAAAATACTTCTTTTAAACTGTCATTTGCTTGGGGGGTGTGTGTGTGTGTGTTATATATATATATATATATATAAAATATAATATTGTGTTGTGTACTTGATTTTAAGTTTTGGATAAAATCCATTTTTGAGTTCTACAACCAAAAATTAAAAATATGTCATTTCTATTTTAAAAAGCTTTAAATGCTCAGAAATAACTTATTTTTTTGAGAAAGTGCTAAACTTGTTTCTAGAACTTTGCTAGCTGCTTTTAGTTTGGAGCTATGCTTTATAGCAATTATAGCCTTCTGGGAAAATGTAGGTTTTAATTAAAGATAGAAAAGGCAAAAAAGAAAGCTAATACATCCTTAACTATAGAGGTATGAATGATGCTGCTGAAATGCATATGAGTACACAAGACCGAATAAACTGTCTGGGGACAATCAATAATACCGTACGTTTAGAGCCTGATCCAAAGGCCATTTAAATAAGTAGAAAGACTCCCATTGACTTCCGTGGGCTTTGGCTCAGGTCCTTCAGCCCCAAGCACGTTGGGTTAGGTATAGTTTTACCTAAACTTATTTTACTTGTGGTTTAAACAAATTTAGGTGAACTCCAGGCATGGCCTGCCTGGCCAAAGTGGATGAGGAAAAATGCTTCGAAGCCCAGTTAGTCTGAACAAATTTAAAAATATTGTAACAATGTTTCTGGCCTAGCATAGGTGGTGGCACACTGTATTTTCTTTCCTTGGTGGGTAACTCATCAATGAGAGAACACTGATGATTTCTGGAAAATGTAAAAATGTGTTAAAAAAAAAAAAAGTCTTTGTAAGTTTGTGTTAGGAATTAAATTAAACTATGAAATACAGTAACAACAATTTAACTTAGAGATAATTTAATATCTAACAATAAATATCTTGGTAACAGATTAGATTGTTAAGTAAAGATTAACCTACATTTATGTTGAAAAAGAATGTAGTTCTGAGGCCATGGATAATCGCGTGCTGCAGTTATTTTTATGTATTTATTTACTTTATTTATTTTAAATGCTGTAGGTTACTCTGTTATTGAGAGAGATCCTTCCGGAAGTGCGTGGTGATAGGTCATCTATTCATAGTAATGAATCACCTTACCGTTTGCCATCAATTCTGAATGACAATGGTGAAATAAAGCACACACAACACGCTCAATGGCTTGACAGCATTGGTACAAGGGAACAAGGTAACTAACGTTAAAAGATCCACAAAAACAAATGCATTCAAAGTTATTGTCATTCTCAGTGTATCAAGGTATATTTATAAAATATAATATCAAAGTCTGTAGAAAACTGTGTATATTACTGCAGTTCTGATGAATTAACAAATTTCTTTTTTGTCTTTACCTTGGGGTAATACAACGTTCTCAAATGTCCACTAGGAGTAATTATTATTTCTGTTCACTTATTTTAAATGAACATTCTATAATGATTAGATTTCTATTTTTCTTTTTTAAATGTAAATTAGAAATGTAAGCCCTGTGTTGAGCTCCGGCTACCATTTATAAAACAGATTTAGCCATATCAAAATTAGGTAAGTATTGTTTACTTATAAACCCAGATTGTGGAATAGCTTTTTATTTTTTTTCCCCCTTCCATTTTCCTATCCATGCCAAGAAAAGCTGCATTGCATTTTCGAAGTTATGAACTGAATATGTTTATAAAAGTCTAGTTAATATCTTTAGCTAAAGAAAAGTAATATAATGTAGTCTCTTGCAATGACTAAAATATGGTAACTTCCTTGGTATGCTTTCAGAGCATTCCTTACATGAAAAACTAAAAGCGACAGGCAATTAGGATGCAGTCCTCTTTACACAGCAAACATAAACAAACTGATTTAGATCTCCTAAATTCATTCCAGTTTGACCCTTGGAGGAGATTTAAACTATTTAATTTTCCAGTGTGATGTGTACTATTGCTCTTGGACTATTGGGCAAGACTGTAGTGTTTATAGGTTTTGGATATTGTTGTTGGTTTTTAAAAAAATCTCATCAGGACATACATTATTTAAGATATTTGGTTAGCTCGCTGCTTTCTCTGGAAGCTACACAGAGGCACAGTAGCATCATATTTGGCTAAAGTTCACAGTAGGCTCCTCTTTTAAGAACCGTAATGGACAATTTAGATCAATAAATAAGAGATAACAAATGTGAAAAATTAAAGGGAATAGGGCTTAAAAGAACAAACCAGTCTGATCATTGTGGCTTTGAAATGTGTTTTCATTATTGTGTGTTCACACACAGAAGTCACAAGCTGGTGTGAAGATGAGAGCAAGGAAGAAAGCTTGGCAGAAAAGATCCCTATTACAGGTAAAAGTAATGGCTGCATAATAGCCTCAAATACAGTATTCAACTTTATTATATAATCAAAACATTGCATTTCAGTGGTTTGTGCATCCACTAATAGTGAGTAAATTCTGTTAGTACATACTGAGCACAGAGATTAAACGTAAGATCATAGAGTACACGCTTATGTTAACATAAACCAAGATGGAAAAATAACAGTGCCTATTTAATTCCTTGTAATCATGTTATACATTTAAACCATGTGAATATCCTCTGTCATTTAGCCTTTGAGGTCTTAGTATCGGTGTTACAAAGGTCAGTCTCCATGGGGAAGATCCAGTAATTATATGGCAAACTACAGATGTTTCTGATTTGATTCTTTTCTTTTCTGTAGTAATTGAACGTGGGTATCATTAGAATAAGAGCAGAAAAAACTATGCTAGACAGGAAACTCTGCTTGTGCCTCTGTTATAAAGGCTGTCTGGTAATTTAAACATTTTATCAATAAGGTTTATCAAGACGTGCTAAGATCTCCCTGTAGCAGATGTATGATGCTTGTTTAGATGGAATTTGAAAAATATCATTACCTTTTTAGTGTTAAGGTATCAATAGCATATTCTAGTATCCAGGACAGAACTCTGGATTTGTAATCTGTCTAAATGTATTACCTTATTTTGTAAAGTGTGGTCTACTTCATTATAAATTCAAGTGTGTGGCTCTGTATTTATGCAGGTGTATACAATCATATGGAGGTGATGAGGCATACATGTGCATATACAATATTTGTTGGTTTTCTGGCTTGTTTTTTTTTAAAAAATATAAGAACAGGAGAATAATGCTTCTGAGGAGATTTTTTAATATTTCTTTTGTGAACCCTGTTTTATAGCTCAAATATAAAGACTTACTCCTTGTATTCCAGGGTTTCACCCTAAGAGTGGTTTCCCTTTATTAAACAAACAAATTAAAGACATAACTTTGACCTTTTTCCACTTTGGAGAGGGGAAAAATACCTAAGTTTACTGGCTTTGTGTGGTGTTTTTCCTCTCCTGTATCCAAACATGGGTTTGTTTTTTAACAGAATAACTGAACTGAATTTTAGAGAGGAAAAAACAAAATACAGTTTAGGAACCTAAAACTTTAACAGAATTAATGTGTAGCCTCAAAATGACAAATGCACTTTGAAAACGTGGGTGGGTGATTAGTTAAACCTACTAGGATACAAGTTCTGAGTTCACTGTTTCTCCTGCAAAGAGTGGATGATATTACTAACACATAGACCAGTGTAAAGAATGCTCATCTTCTCTATGTAATTACATCACTAATAACTCCTTGAGGAGAGCACAGAATCCTGAATTTGCATCTTAGTAGTTAAAGAGCCTTTCAGTTTACTTTTCGATTTCTTTTCATTTTAAGGTACATTCTTTGTGAGGTCTGAAAGAGATGTTGTACAATAGATTCCTCTAACTTAAAGGTGCCTTCTAAGTACCATCCTATTTAAAAGACTCTCTTGATTTGGGGTCCAGTCTTGCATACAATTGACCCAAGTGGGGAGTCAAATTGCTAGCATCCAGCACTCCAGGGGGCACTGGGTATGTCGAACACTAGATTGCTGTGCCGCAAGAGCAGGCAAAAGCGGACGTGCCTCTTTGTGCAAGCAGAGAACTCCCCGCCCCTTACGTTATTCTAATTAAATGTTCATTGTGTCAAACTTAAACAAAAACAAATATTACTATTTCTCTCTTTTGTGAAACTACTGAAAAGCTTTAAGTAATCAATATTCAATTACTAAAATAATGGAAAAATCATTTTAATAAATTGACACCTGTGCTTTACAATCAGTTCATGCTGATTGACACCTTGCTTTCCACGCCAGTTCCGGGGTGATTTCGTCAACTAGTGTTCTGTCATTTTCTAAGAGCATGAGATATGCCATTTGAAAGCTAGGTTACTTCTTTCAGATGCGATACATCTTCAGCCCATGATCTGCCGCAGGTTTCAGTTGGCCTTTGTTGATTTCCTGACCCTTCCGTTAGTTTTTTACTAACTGTACGTTTTGTCTGTCTGCTTGTCCTTGTACACTCCGGGCTTTGTGGCAACACCTAGCCCACTTGATGCCTGGACTAGAATATTCAGTCTGTTTTTATGAGAAAAATTTTTGAGCTCAGACTAACTTTTTTTTAAATGGTTCATGTCTCTGATACTTTGTTACAGTTTTTCTGTACTACTTATATTGAGTTTAATGCATCTAAGCTCAGTCTTGAACACTCAATGCACCCTTTTCCAATGGGGATTCATTGCAACAAGGTGTTGTTTTGAGACCTTAGAAGCACTTGAGGCTTTGGGGAATCATTGTAGCTCTTGATGGGTTTTTTGCCTTTACTGCCAATGTTGAGTTGGAGGGGCTTCAGCATGTTTTTTATGAAGTCTGTGTTGAAACTTCATGGGTACCTGACAAAACTCCCGGGCAGTTCTGTTTTATTCCTCTTGTTCTACTTTTGTTCCAGAATGTTCTCTTCACCCTTGCCACCTGGGAAGGAGTGTCTGTGGCTTCAGGAAGATGTGTGACTGCTGTATCCTCTGTCTTGGAGTCAAGCGTGATGTTTATGGGTACTAGTTGTTACCCAGAGATAATCCTTTTTCACATGGAGCACCTTAAGCCTCCCCTAGTGGTAACCTGAAAGTGCTTCATAGGATTCATCTTCTAAACAGAGGCCTCAGTTGTTCTGTTCTGCTGAATAATTGGACCTAACTTCCCAATAGGACCAGCAGATCCGCTTCAAATATCCACATTGAACCTGAGATCTCCAAAGTGTGTAAATGCATTGATACCATCAGCACATTGCCACGGTAGGGTGATGGTGCTGAGCTTTGACTCAGTTCATGAGGCATCACTTCCATGAAAGTGCCAAATACAGAAGGTACCATGTGGGAGCCAGACACCTTCCAATGCATCACTGTAGAAGCTCTTAACTCCTGCCAGCTCCAAACTGGAACTGCAGGATACTTCTCTCCAGCAAGGTGTAGCAATTGGAGACAAAGTTAAGGAATCTTGATGATAGCTTGTTGAGTGAACTGTTAAGTCTTTTAGGTTCCATAGTTTTAGTATCTCAGAAATAATAGTATCATCGCAATACCATGAGAGCACCATCAGAGATTGCTGGCCAGGGCACAGAAGTTGATTCAGCAACTCAGGCAGTGTCATTCTTGATGCCAAGACCCTTCGGACCATGAGACTGAGAGTCTTTATGCAGCTGGTGTTGATGCTTGGATGAACTGAATCATTAGAGTGGGAGGAGGGTTATGTTTCTGAGGTTAATGAGTGCTCTTTGGACATGGATGAAGCCGTTTTTATCTCCACAGCAAAAGAGCAGCAAAAAAGTGACTCTGCTCTCGTGGGGTTTTTTTCCCCACCAACTTTTAAAGAAGCTAACTAAGACAAATGGACTTCACTTAGTTACTGTCCAGGTACCCTCAAGTGCCAAGACTGATTAGTACCTGGATGAGGAGCCCGCTTTGAATGGGATTGCTGTGACCTCCCATCCTATTCTTCATGACTTTACTGGAGAACTTTTGAAAGGCACCTTGCATCTCCTTCCCTTGTCCTGTTGATTAGGGAAAAAAATACTTCCAGCTGTGTCTTCCATTCCACACACACATTTGTGATTGAGGTAGCTGGTATCAATGGGAAGACCAGTTGAACTCACAGCAGTGTGCCAAAACCTTGAGTTTGATTATGGGATTTGTTTGATTATCAGGTTTACTATTCTGCAGCTACTACCAAGCCTGTGTGATCAAACGGCAGATCAAGCTAGGAAGGATGTTGATCTGTCTTGGCAATAGGTAAAATCATACTTTGGTGTGACCAATATTTGTCAGAGCTGCTTCCAGACCCATCAAGAAAA